CCCCTTTACACCTTGTAATGATGATGATGTATGTTTAGTCTGCATTGCAACATTGATTGGGTTGGTCATTGGTATCCTAGCATTCTGCTGCGCTATCTTGTACTATGTGAGGGAGGTATGTCCTTGTTCTGGTTTGCACCATTACGGTATGCAACAGTTTGGTATCTCCTCCTCCTCTCACATGTGTGAAGTATGATGGGAGGTCGTGTCAGTCCCGGTTAGGTCAGGACTTATATCCAAGTCGTCCACTGCGCTACAAAGTGCCATTTTGTATGTATCAGGATGTACACTGCTTGTTGAGATTCCACTAACACTTCATTGTCCATTCAGTCCTTTTCGTCACCTTGCGGGTCCTTGGCTGTACATACATTGCCCAACTGGGCATGTATCACACGTGTCGCCGCCAGGTAAGGCCAGGTAAGCTTCCCCACATCTCCCGTCAGTCTCACAGCCCTGATCCACCTCCTCCTCACCAATCCTCATTACCTAGTCCACATCTACGCAGCTACGGCCACACCAACATAATTTCCCTCTAGGCTATGGCCCACCAGCAGCATCTTGCGCCAGCAGCCTCATGATACAGCACTAGCATCAAGCCAACGCAAGGCAGAATGACTTCCCCAGTGTCTTACCATCCTTTTGTAGCGTTGGCCAGTGTTCACCGGTGTGGACCAGTCTCCCCTTTGACAATGTCGATGCTCCAGATTTGCCCGATCTTGACGGCATGGATGCAGCCTTGAAGCAGCGGTACCTTTTCCCAGTAGGGACTGGAATCTTTCGGATACCTGCAGACAATCATTGGTATGCATCTGATCTATGGCCAGGTGTGGCATACTGCCTAGCCACACGGGCCTGCAGGGCCCGTCCAGCATTCTCAGCCTAAAAGCCTAGAAATAAGGGCTTACAGGCCCCATGTCGTTTCAGCCTGAAAACTGAAAACAAGGGCCTGCAGGCCCTATCTCGTTTTCAGCCTAAAACAGGGCTTTTCAGCCCTGAGTCTTTTCAGCCTGAAACGGAGGGCCACTTTCGGGCCCTCATAAGATCGTCCTGCCCTAGAACTCAGGCAACAAACCAGGGTTTTGGGAAGAGGCTATTTTTGGCCTGTTCCCCACGCCAGCCTCAGCAGGAGCTGCAGTGCCAGCCCCTGGCTTGCCCTGGCATTGGCAAGAGCAGCCTCCTGGACTGCCTCTTCCTACAGTCAGGAGGTAGGCCGAATAGTACATAGGGAGTTCCCATGCACTTCACGGGTAGGTAGTTGGACAGAAGGCAGGAGGCAGTCTTCAGGATTCGGCCGCAACACTTTGGAGGAGCGTTGCAGGAGTAGCTTAGCGCTAGCAGTAGTCTTCAGCGTTGGCGCTAGTAGCTGCAGGAGTAGTCTTCAACGCAGGGCTCTAAGTAGTGGTAGTGGTAGTAGTCTTGGAGAGAGATGGCTGGCGGAGGCCAACGAGACTTACCTGTGGTGCCATAGCTCCAGCTCCATCTTTGAGGTACCTGCATCAAGGCGCCAGCTTCACAGGTTAGTACTGGACAGAGAGAGAGAGAGAGAGTTCTTCTTCTTCCTCTTCTAAGTCCACCATCTCTTCTTCACCCTCTCCCTATCTGACTTCTTGGTATCTGCAGACTACGACAGAGAGAGAGAGAGAGTTTTGTGACTTGAGACTTAACGACATTGGATCCAGACTCGATATTGGGATTCAGACATTTTGACGAGGGACTATTTGGGCTTGTGCCGAAGACTTGGTGTTGACGACATTCCCATCTTCCCCTCTTCTTCGTCTAACCCCCCTCTTCTTCGTCTGTGTATGGTTGGGGCTGGCGCATTCTTCCTGTGTGAGCGCCAGACCCCTTCACACCATGGAGTGATGATGATGATGATGTATATTCAGGGCTGCATTGCAATATTGATTGTTCGGATCATTGATATCTAAGTCTTCCGCTACGCTATCTTGTACTTTCTGAGAGAGGTCGGTTCTTGTTCTGGTCTACACCGTTACAGTATGCAACAGTTTGGTATCGGAGCGGACCTCTCATTCAGAGGAACCGCTCAATCAAGTAGCCAGCTTGCTTGATCTATTGATTACTCATTAGTAAATCAAGTAGGACTTCGTCAAATCTTTGGAAAAAAAAAATTCTCGCAACAAATATCTGAAAATTACTGATAATCGCATTTCATTTTACCTGAAATTTTTGATATTAGTATTTCGTTTTCACGCAACAAATATCTGAAAATTTCTGATAATCGCATTTCGTTTTATCTGAAAATTCCTGATAGTAGCATTTCGTTTCTCTGATATTTGCATACATAGCTGAAAATTTCTGATGCTAACATTTCGTTTTCTAGGCATATTAGGATAACGATAGAAGTGGTCATATTCTCGGAAACCGGATTTATTCTTTTCTGAAAATCGAATCTCCATTCTATCTCGCAAAATTTTTTTGAAAACCGAAATCTTGTGAAGCCTACCAGCATTTCGTTAGGCATATTAGAAGGTTGCCATATTCTATGAAACTGGATTTAGTTCTTTTCTGAAAATCGCATGTCTACTCTATTTCGCAATTTTTTTTTTTCAAAATCGCATTTTTGTGAAAGCCAAAACTTTGCAGAACCTAGCCTAGATCTCGCTCATAGTACTCTTCTGACATGCCTCACTCATAACAGATCGACAGATATACAAAAAAAAAAAAAGGAAGTAGTCCTCTTTTTTTTTTTTTTTTTTTTTTTATCTGTTGATTAGGGCCGGGAGGAAAGTATTGTTGGGTTGGTTACCTACCTGCGTTTTCCCTCCCACCCACCCCTTTGCATGCATTTCCGGGTGGTACAGTGCCACATCAGCAGTGCCACGTCAACAGTGCCACGTCAGCAACAGTGCCACGACAGTAGTGCCACGTCAGCAGTGCCACGTCAGCAGTGCCACGTCAGCAGTGCCACATCAGCAACAGTGCCACGTCAGCAGTGCCACGTCAGCAATAGTGCCACGTCAGCAGTGCCACGTCAGCAACAGTGCCACGTCAAGAGTGCCCCGCCACCATGACGGGCTCAACTCTGGGCATGCCAGGCCAACTGGCCAACGAGTCCATTGCCGAGTACAAACAGCGGTTCCAGATTCAGCTCGCACTGATCCAGGTTGAGGAGCAGCGCCAGGTGGCAGCCGAGGCTGTCCGCCTACAGGCTGAAGCGGCGGCAACAGCTGAGAAGCAGCGACTTCAAGCCGAAGCTGAAGCAGATACCCAGGCACGCCGCAAGGAGGCCTAGGATCTACTACAACGGCATGAAGCCACCAGCATAGAAAAGCTCAAGTTTTGGCACTTTGAACCATCCGAGGAGCACGACGACGTGACACCGGAGGAGCAGCACAAGGAATTCATGGCCAAACTCGTGACTAGGTTGGTTTACACTTGTAACCACCTGCAGTCCGAGCTGGCGAACCTCCATCGGGCCGTACGGAACCACAAGGCTCAGCACGAGGATGCAGCACGGGCACCTAATTCCCGTGTACAGGACTTGGAGCAAACTGCACGAAGACCGGAGGCTGGCGAGTCCAGCAGTGCACCGTCTGCCCGCCAACTGGAGGAACGAGTTGACCACGTAGTCGCAATGCTCGGCGACATCGGTACCTTCGCTGCACCAGCCACCATCAGCAACCAGCTGGACACCTTGAAGATCGAGGTTCAGCAACTGCAGCTGCCTAACAAAGATGGCAACACCACGCAGCATTACAAGATGCCGACATTCCAAATTGAGAAGTTCGATGATTATACGCATCAAGACCCGGTCCTCTGGTGGAAGGGCTTTACGCAACTTCGGATTCTGTTCGTCGCCAAGCACGCGTACATCGGCGCGTTGTTCCTCAACTCAAAGGGCGGATGCCAGATCTGGTTGAGCCACCTGGCAACCGTCCACGGCGTCGACGTCACAAATCTGAAAGATAAGATCTCTTGGGAAGAGTTAACACGACTATGGAAGAAACGGTTCATCGTGGACGACGCCCCGACGCTCGCCACCGACCGCCTCTTCGCTATGACGCAAGGCAACACATCGACACGTGACTGGCTCACGGAATGGCAAAAGATCGCGGCAATGCCCGATCTTGACTTGCCATTTTCGCATCTGCGCCGCGAGTTCTACAGCTGGTCATGTGCCGCCTTGAGCCTTGCACTTTGTGATCGCGAGCAATAAGCGACCTTCGCCGAAATCATCGACAAGGCAAGGGAGATCATCAAGACCAATAGGGCAGATGCACATGAGAAATCAGCATGGTAGCCAACCTATGTGGAGAAGGTGAAAACTGGTCCGCGGCCGCATCATGTCGCTGCAGTCCAATCGGACAACATTGTGGAATACCCGGCAGCCACCCAAGCATCACGTGAGGGAGATCAGGTGGCTGCTGTCCAGCCGCGAAGCAACAACAAGTCCCGAGGAAACGGGAAGGCGAAAACCGCATTGCAAACGGAAATGGACAGCCAGCACCATGGGTCAAGTTTCACTTGACCGAGGCGGAATACAAGTGGTGCGGCCGCTACGGCTGCTGCTATTGGTGCAACAGCACCAAGCACAAGACCTCCCAATGCCCGGATTAAGGCAAGGAGGATGTTCGGCCTCGTATCAACTCGGGAAACTGAGTTCCGCGGGAGGTGAGGCAACTCCACCTCTCACTCCCCCAGATTCGGCCGCCTTGCTAGCGGCCTCCTACACATCTGGGGAGGATGCGAATGTCGCAAGTTCTCGGTACACTTACGAGGACTATGCTATCCACTTGGTCCCACCGTTGGACCAACCGCTCCACGTGCAACAATCTACCTCATGCACGGTTTCATCACCATCGGCAACCGATTCGGCAGCTTCGCCGCCATCTATCGCCGGGGATTCAACGTCATGGTCAAGACTTGAAGAGCTCGACCCGCTGACGTTTGCGGACTTCCAATGGATGCCCCTTCCCCGGTCCGATCGATTGCCGAAACCGCATTGCAACGTGCTCATGGCACAATTGCGGGATTACTTGCACACTGCAGTACCAACTCGGTTGATGGACACCGGAGTAGAGGTTGTCGACCTTCACAATTACATTGCGAAGATCGACCGCGAGTACAGGACACAACGGTACGACGACATCGACGCACCATTGTTATATGTACGCATTCAGATCGGAGAGGCGACCTGCAGCGCTTTGATCGATTGCGGAGCATCTCGCAACTACATGAGCCAGGACTTTATGGTACGCGCCGGCCTTGGCCCACGCGTCCGGAGGAAGTCCCAGCCTACGCAAGTCACGTTGGCAGACGGTCACACGCACAAGTCAATCGACCGGTGCATAGATGACGTCCCCGTGTACTTTGCCCCGCATGCAAGCGAGGCGGTGTC